GGGTCCCGCCGGGCTGGGGCTTGTATCTTACCCCCTTCACAAGGCGCTGGGTTCTTGCAGGTGTGGATGTGGTCTGGATGTTGTCCTGTGTCCTGTGGTCTCTATTTTAGGAAGATTTTTCTTTGTTATATTTTCATAGCTCTATGTGTTTTTGGGAGGAGATTTCCACTGCTCTACTCACGCCGCCATCTTGGCTCCGCCCCTAACTAATTGAGTTTTAAAATGCAATCTTATCTTCAAGATGGAATCCTTCCTGTTTTTACTACATTGTTTTTGGGCTTGCTTGCTAAATTGCCCAGGTTGCAAATCCCTAAGGGCTAGAGGCAGGAAAGCAGCACCTGGGTAAAATCAGAAAAATAAGCTGGGCCCCCCAGCAGGCCAAAGCAAATCCCCGCAATGGGTTATCTTGCTTTGTTTTTTTCCAGAGGCCCTCATACTCTGAGCCCACAATCCCTGTCTCATTACCCCCTCTGCAGATGGAGACCCTAGTTGCTGCTAGGGGAAAGGGGTCAAGGACCGCTCTGGCTGCTTCATGCTGAGAGGGGTGCAGTAAAGGGTGCAGCTAGGTCTCTCTCCATCAGTGGTCAGTTGAGAGGGCCTTGGATCATGGGCGCTTCTATCCTAGGTTCCATTTCCATCACCATTTGCAGTTTTATGGCTTCAAAAGAATTTAGAAACCCAGCTCCATATAATAGTAGTCCATGGGACTTCTGGGCCTGATGTAGATCGGACCTGCTTTCTGAGGTCCTGGAGTGAACCAGAGACACTTTGTGAATAATTTGGAATATACACACAACACTCAAGTTTAATTATAGCACAGATCATACCCTGTGCTGCTGTTAAGGTGTCTAGTGCCATTCTATTTTGTAAAACTGCTTGGCGCATTAATTTAAGTTTAGTATTTAGGAGGGCTATCTCTTGGATAGTATCATTTAAGGCCTTTTGAGTAAAATTGGTTAAGGTTTTGATATGCCAAATTACATCTTCTAAACCAAGAGATGGTATAAAAATGGAGGCTAGGTGATTATACCAATGAAAAACACTCCTAGTCCATTGATGTTGGAGGCTTGGGAAGTTTGAAGGATGTTCTTAGCCCAACATCCTTGCAACCAAGGAAATCCCAGAGTGCACCTCCCTATCCACCCTGGAGGGAGCCATGGCCAGAGATTAGTTCCACACAGCCAGTGACTGCCGTCTGGGGCTGGACAACAGATACCAGGGTGGGTTGTACATCTGTGGCAAGCAAATATGTAGCCTGCAAAGTTATTATATGTGAACAGTGGTCTTTGGCAAGCCAGCCTAAATATCGGGTGAAGCTTGGGCAATGGTTGTTAGAATGGTTTCTTTGCTCCCAGCACAGAGGAGCCTTTTGATTTAAGCATCCTGCCATTGGAGTAACCCAAATGCACTCATCCAAGATTTGAAAAAAATACTACTTTCATATCTGTGGTTATTTGCATGGAGAATTAGCACATTGAAGGCATTTTGCAGTTGGGGTAGAGCTATAATGGTAGTTAAATTCTTTGTGGCATCATAGGAGAAGGGGAATTTATGCCCATTAACTTATTGAGGTTTTAGGCATGAAAAACTGCTTTAATAAAATAATTAGAAAACCCTTTGCAATCTTTCAACATTAAGAGATGGCTAACAGTTTAAGAAAAGTTTGTCCTTTTAACTGAAAACAAAATTGTAGTTTTGCTGTGTACTTGATATCAAGACTAATTTGTTTTAATCTCACATAGCATGACTATATGACTATATTAAATTCTTGTAAATTTCCTACAACTTTTTTTACATTCAGAATTCTCCCTCTTTAAATAACCAGCTGTACTTTAGAACAAATTTACCTTCTTTTACCCTCAATAAAATGCATTTCCATTCTTTATACCTCCTCTTATCAAAACACACATCTTTTCTAGCATGCAGAGATGTTTTCCATATTGTTTTAAGTAGTTTTAATTAGAACTTTCAGTGAACACTGAGAAGTAAGCTATTGTAAACTGTTATACTAGCATTCTTTAGATTGAGGCATTTATGAACACATTTTATAATTTCTGGAAATGTGCTTTATAGCACAATTTCTCAATAAGCACAAAATATGTCTACTTAGCAAAACTTTAAGGTTTTAGGTTACCATAAAGATTTTCAAGCCATATATACATATACACTCTGTAACACACAATTATTAAGAAGTTCACTTACTACACTTTTTTAGTTCATTCATTCCTAACAACCGTGCTAGATTACTTACAAAGCCTTCACTAAACATGACAAAGTCAAGCTTCTCTTTAAGCATTCTTTTCTTTTGAAACGTTTAAGCCAGGCTGTATTGCAGAAGATAAATTTGTGTCTCAGGGAGTCTAGTTTATAAACCTCTCCATTTTTTATGATAATGATGAACCCAATAAGTAGAATACATTTCCAGTAAAAGGATTTAGAAAACCAGTTTTATATTGTAGTAGTCCACAGGACTTTTGACCATTTTCCTTCCTTGTGGCAAAATAAATTAACTGCATAACCTTATTATATTGTATACTTCTCTGAGGGGCCAAGCCTCTCCAATCAGAGAGTTTGTATTGAGACCAGGCTTGTGTGCAGAAGATAAGGGACTTCTTTTTCAGGGTTTGGGGATCAAATTGATCCCAAGTCTTGCAGAATGCATGCCAGAGGCGTGTATGGCTTTAAACTTGAAGAGGATGCTCCCATCTCTGAAGTTATCCCAGACAAACCCCCAGAAATGATGCTGGGCATCTTGTTTGAGGAGTCAAAGAATGAACTTTGCAAACACTCAGGGTAGGAGAGCAAGTGAGAGGTGAGAGGCTTTTATTTAGAGATAAAGCGAGAGGACAGAGCTCCTGGCTCACACCAGGAGGGGATAAGAGAGTCCCTCATTTTTTTTTTATGTCCATAGTTTCCTTTATTCTGATCATATTTAAATCAGCTAATTTAAAGTATTTGTCCAGCTAGTCTAAAATCTGAGTTTCCTCAAGGAGAGTTTCTATTGATTTTTTTTTCTTGTGTTGAGCCACACTTTCTTGTTTTTTGCATGTCTCATATTTTTTTGTTGAAACTGAAAATTTTAAACAATTGGCATACATTGTTTTATTGCACTTCACTTTACTGTGCTTCACAGATACTGTGTTTTTCACAAACTGAAGGTTTGTGGAAACCCTGCATCAAGCAAGTCTATCAGCACCATCTTCCCCAGAGTATTTGCTCACTTTGTGTCTCTGTCACATTTTAGTAATTCTCACACTTTAAACTTTTCCATTATTATTATATTGTTGTGGTGATTTGTGATCTGTCATTATAACTCAATGAAAGCTAAGATGATGATTTGCATTTTTTAGCAGTAAAATGTTTTAAAATTAAAGTATATACTTTCTTAGATATGCTATTGCACACTTAATAGACTGCAGTGTAGTATAAACATAACTTTTTATATGCAGCAGGAAATCAAAAGAAAAAGTCATTTGACTCACATTATTGTGATGTTCACTATAATGCAGTGTCTAGGACTGAACCTGCAGCACCTCCAAGGAAAGTCTGAAGAGCAGAACTTGTTGTTGCCTTTTGTTGAGGTTGTTTGTTTGGATAACTTTTCAAAATGAACTCTGTAAAATCTGTGTTCCTTTGTCATATATGGCCACTGACAACTTTGCTTGATTCATTTACTAGTCAGCTAATGATTTGAGAGAGATTTCCTTAAGTGTTGAGAACCACTAAATCTTCCAGTGTTTACTGAGTGGCTCTTTGTGTGTTGGGGCACTTCTTCAACATTCAGCCAGGCAGTCGACCACTCTGCCTGACCTGTCACTTCCTGCTCGTGCAAGCTGCAAGGCCAGCCAGAGGTGAGAACTAGGACCTTTTCTCATCTTTCTTGAGGATGCAGAGAACACTGGATGTGAACTAGCACTATGTATACCTGTGGCCTTCTAGATTTCCAGTAATATGTTAGAGCTAATCAAAGTCCCTCTAGATATCCCATTCCCCAGCTTTTCTTTTTAAGCTTTTTGATTAGCCTATTCTTTGCCCCAAATGTTATCCATTGCCTCAGGGGCCATGATGTTAAACAATTGCCTCTAATTGATTTTGACATGGAAGCTTTTTTCCCTGGGCCAGCTCTGAATCAGGTCAAATAAAGAGAGCCCTGAAGTGGGTCTTCTCAGGAATGACCAAAGAGGTCATATTATGACTGTTCTCTGGGAATGGGGCTTTGAAAGAGCCCAGTGCTCTTCTGCCCTTCTGTGGCTGTCAGGCTACTGGTTTTCACTGTGATCATGTACTGTTGTTTTTCAATGCTAACATGGTGGTGGGAATAGGGCAGGTTAAAATGCCATAAGTTGCTGTTCTTACAGTTTGGGGGAAAAAAGAACTCCCTAGGTTGCTGCAAGCTTCTGCCTAATTCTGAAAATTAAGTAGGGTTCTGAAAAAGGTGTTTGTTTTTTTTGCCAGTTTTCTTGTTGCTTTAATGGAACAGAGAATTTTCAGAGGTCCTTATTCTGCAGTTTTCCTTGATGTCCCTAAATCTCCATTTTTTTAGTTGATTTTGCTTTAGATAAATTTCATGACATAGAAATGTGTGTTTGTGCCTTGAAGATCTGATTGTTCTTAGATACACATTCTTTTTTTCCTAATTAAATGTACTTTTAGAAAAGAAGTTCTTTCCTGTATCAAATATGACTGGAATTGTCCAAAGAGTAAGACTGTGAATAAGGCAGAGATATTTGACCAAACTGCTCATCTGTTTTTCATATATGCCTGAGACCTAGAGAGTTGAGGGAGCAGTGACAACTCTCTTTTCTTGGGTAATAGGTACCAGCATTAGATTTATTGGTTTTGACTGAAATCTCAATTTTTGGCTAAAGCCCTTGAAAATCCTCTTTCAACAGAATGCAGAGCCTGGATGAGCCATGGACTGAAGAGGAGGAGGACGGACCTGACCACCCATACTATAACAGCATTCCAGGCAAGACACCTCCTCCAGGGGGGTTTGTGGATGCACGGCTAAAAGCCAGACCCCACGCCCCTGACTCAGCCCAGGTACGGCCTGTACCTTTTCTCTTGGATGGCAGCTAACTAAACTTTATTTCCTTCAACTTTATTTTCAGGCTGGTGTTCTCTCCAGTCTTTGACAGAATAAATAACTGACAAACTTTCTCCCCTTGATTGCACAAAGCAGACAAGTAGGGAGGTTTTTGATTCAGCATCACAAGGTGTCAGATGCCTTGGAGCTATATTATGATTCCTGAGATACAAGTCTGGGGGGGTCTCCTCTCCATCCTAGGATGAATTCCACTATACAATGATCACAATGAGGAGAAGAGACAGTCCAAGACTTTTAAAAGGCCTGGGGTATTTTGCACTCCTTGCGAAGAGAGTGGATGTAGGCCTCTGAAATGACTAGAATTTTATGAGTTTTCTATTTTACCCATTTCCCTGACTTTCCCTCCAACTCAAAATTCTAGTAAGGCAATTGTTTTCTAATGTTTATGGGATCTCTGTTTTGTTAATAGGGAATTTTTTATATCACCTACCTTATGTGAATAATAACACTAATGAAAGTGGCAAAATAACATTGAAATCAAGTGTCAACAGCTATGACTCAGAGGGAATGGCCTGGGTGGCCTGGCCCAGGTGTGAATGATTATGGGTGTATGTGTTGGGTGGGAGGTGTGTCCACATAGAAACTCTCCAAATTTACTGTAGGGTCTATTGAATGACGCAGCTGCGTGTAGAAGGGCTTATACTCTATGGCCACATGCAGGGAGGGTTTGTTGGGGAAATGAAAATGGGGGGTGTGTAGCTCCAGTGAGAGGCGGTGCCTTCATCGCACCCACACAAAGTCGCTTCTCAAACCTTAATGCCAACGGTGGGGCATGAAGGAAAAGTCTGGTGTAACTGGGGATGCAGCTGACCCCCACTGAGGCCCCTTCCACTGCATGCCTTCTGGAGATGAAGACCTTACTTCTCTTTGTATATTCACATGTGTCTATAGTTTGCAGGAAAAGAGCAAACTTATTACCAGGGGAGACACTTAGGAGATGCATTTGGTGAAGACTGGCAGCAAACACCTGTCAGACAAGGTGAGAGGCAAGATGGGTAGAAGAGAAACACGCAGAACTGATGTCCTCCCAGTGGGCCCCCGGGAGGCGGTTTATCTCTGTGGGGCAGGGGGAGGCAGAGGGAGCCCTTGGGGATATCTGCTGTGTTTGGGGTGCAGGTTCCCGACAGATGGCAGAATGGAAATAGGGGCTGCTGGGGGTGCCCCCAGCCGTGCATCAGTTGTGCCTCACCAGGCACAAGGACAGGTCTTGTCCCTCAGCACTGACACCTCTCATGCCCTGTGGAGGCTGACTCCTGGCAGGAGGGCTTTCCCTCCATTGGGCCAAAGGACTGACCTCCCAAGGGGCACCTCCCACTTCAAACGGGACTTTACGGGGAGACTCTGAAGCGTGTTTGCACTGCCCTGATCTCCCCAGCAGGCTGACCTCAGAAGCTCCTAATGGGAACTAGTAGCTTTGCCATTCCTGTAGCTGCCACTGGCCCTGCACTCCCAGGGGGAGCTTCAGGGGAGCGGAGCAGCACCCACCTAGGCAGGGAAAGCGCCATGGATACCAGGCCCTCACAGGCCCTGGGCGCTGCAGAGGACATTGCCACATCCTATCGAAGCGACTAGCACACACCTACATCCCACATTAAAAATAAGTCAGACATGACTCAGAACCACGTGCTGACACAAGTCTCTATTCTCTAGACAGTTCTTTCTGTACTTACATATGCTTGTACAGATGCATATATCTGTGTGTGGTTTAAAGATTTCTTTTCATTTCAAACTTCCTTTCCTCCTCTCAGTAGCTCTGGGGCCCTGGCTACTGGCTCTGCAGGGTCTGGAGGAGATGGAGCATCACGTGGATTAAGATCCAATTCATGCTTCCTGTGTGCATTTAACCATTTATTGGTTTAATGTTGAGGCTTTTCCCTTCGTTATAGCCATTTGTGATGGGAGAAAATAACAATCAACTTTTAAAATTTCCCCCTTGTGAGTGCCTTTCGTGTCCTGCCTGCCGCAGGGGACAGAGGGCCTGTTGGTGCCAGCCCAGTCAACCTCACAGAGGGCCTGGTGGAAGCCACCACATGGTCATGCCTCAGAATAGGATGGAACAGCAAACCTAAGTCAGAGCTTTGTCAGATGCACTCTTTAAGTATGTTTTCACCCCTGTTCTACACACATTTGAAATGTGCTTATATATTATCTATGCGCCCAGACATATAACCTCTGGAGACTAAAGGAGACACATTATTTACATTAGATGTTTACTCTGTTGACAAATATGTTAGGTTCATTTAAAAATGAGGTCCTTTTCTGTATGTTCAAGTTGCTCCAGCCAGCTCCCAAACAGACATTGTGAGACCCTCCCCAGGGCAAAACTGAGCCTTAGAAGTTCCTGGAACATGAGCCTCCTAACTCAATACATTTCAAGTTCTTATTTGAAGGCGGTAAATATCTTTCTCATCAAACAAGTAAGAGCATACCTTCTGAATTTGCCAGCAGCTTTTCCCCTTAATGAAGATCAGCTCTCCCGCCATCTGGATGTGTCCACCGGCTGCAGCCTGGCACCTGCACCACCTGAGTGGGAAGGGGCCTTCGGCAGGAGAGTTATTCACTTTCATCTTTTCCTACTTAAAGTAGTTTATAAAATTCTTTTTACAGACTGATTTGTTTGCAATATCTATGCATGTGTGAACTGCACACAGCACCACTAAGCCAGGACATGTAAGCTGGGAGCAGCCTGCGAAGCACAGAAGTCATGTTTAGGAATAGATGTAGAGACAGTGCATGGCTGTGCTGGAGATGGTGCCCAAGAAAGTCTTTAGCAGGACATGTGTGTTCACACGGTCACACACAGGGAGGGTGGTGTGCTGCCAAAGGCCAGCAGTGGGTTCTGGGAGAAGTTTAAAAAGCCTTGAGTCAGTCTTGCTAGCTGGGCTGAGGCCACTTCAGCGCCCCACCGCCATGGGGTGTGAAAAGGTAACCTCCCTCAGAGATGTGACTGCCAAAAGGTGATCTTGAGAGTGTGCCTGGTAAATGTGTTAGAAACAGGGCTCCCATAGAAAGAATCTGACAGTGACCTGAGCAGGTGCGGTCAGGGGACAGCCCTCACTCACCTCACATGACAGCAGCAGGTACCCTGCGCCAGACTCAGCACCATCTTGCGCCAGCCTGGAGGTCCCTTGGAGGCTGCCTGCGGGTCCTCAATCATCCGCTCATCTTGGGACTCCTGCTTGGAGCCAGAGACAGCAAGGCCGGCCCATTTTGTAAGGAAGGTGTTTCAGTTTATTAGGAAATAACTTTCTAAAATGGGGTTGCAGCACAGGATTGCTTTGCTAGAATGGACCTAAGTTACAAAGCATTCACTTATACTTCAAGGAAAAAAAGGGTAATTAAAATTCTTCTGCTGGGACATTTGTTCCCCGGGCATTTGCAAAGGCGATGAGGAGATGGAGGCAGCTTTGGCTGCAGGCGTGGCTTCTCTGCACCCTGGCCAGTAGGGGTCAGGACTAGGGCAAGGCACTCTCCTTCATGGGCATCCACCAGTGTGGGCCAGCAGGTCCCATTTTGACATGAAGGGTGGGAAAGCATCCCAGCCAGTAGACAGCAGAATGCAACAGGCTCAGAAGGAGGAATTTAACCAGTGGGGATCAACAAGAAGAATTTCTTCTGGAGAGGCTGAGGGAGCTTTTCTCTAAAGACTGGGTGGTGTAACTGCAGATGCATGGATAGAGACTCCGCTGTAGGAGGTAAGAGGACTTGTTTCCTTGTTGCAGGGTCCTTGGATGTCTACAGCGTGCCAGAGGGCAAAGTCCATGTGGCCCCTACGAGAGAAGCCCCCACCTACATCAACACCCAGCACATTGCCTTGCAGGCCGCCCCGGCCACGGGCAGCAGCACAGAGAGCAGCCCACGGAAAGATCTCTTTGACATGAGTGGGTTTCCATTTGTCTCTGGTTTTCTTCTCTCTTGAGGTTGCTTTTTACAACTACCTTTTATTTGAAATCTACACAGTAACTGAGTTCTCAGCTAGCGGGGTTTTGATGAATGGTGGTGACTGGCTGCACTTTTCCAGGGGATGGTTTGGGATGATGACCCTGTCTGCATCCCAGAGGCAAAGCTGTTTTCCCCCCTTTTTGGAATTGACTTTCTTCTTGAAGATCTGCACATGAATCAAGACAAATAAGATATATAAATATATGCATTCACTTATTTGTTCACTTAAATACTATTTGGCAATTATATGCCAAATACTGTATCAGTGGCCAAGGATGCCAAGACAATATGGTCCAGCCCCTGTCTTCACTCAGCTCAGTCTGGTGAGCAAGACGCTGCAGCTGCCCTCCTGTAGGCTGCACGTGCGCCCTCCCCGCTCCCCCAATTCCTCTCCACTGAGCACCTATGGTGTACCAGGCATCATTCCCCTTACTGGGGCTACACAGGAAAACAAAGTAGACAAAACCCAGGCTCTCATGGAGCTGAAGTAACCACTATGTCTGTATTACCAAGGAGTGACAGGTGCCTGGATGGAAAAGAAAAGAGGAGTGGCAGGAAGCTGGTTGGACAGCGATGCCATGTGATGGACATGAGCCTTCTGTTGTCATATAGACTGGGAAAATTCTATCCTCCGTGAACTGGTCACGGGAAGTGGAAATCATTGTTAAGAAATTTGAAAGAGCTTCCCCAGTCCCAGAGAGCCTTACCTTCCCAAATTTCTTTTTCAAATTCCTAGAGAACTTTACAGCCTGAAGCAGGGAAGAGACTAGCATTCAATGAGTTTCTACCATGAACAAGGCACTTGCTGTTTTATTTAATTTTTGCTACAGCCCTGCAGGTAGATGATACTAGTACTAGTACTATTATTATCTCTATTTTGTAGAAGAAAAAACAGAAAATGCTAGAAATTGAGTAAGTTATTCTGATAAGAGGTGGCCTGACTACTAGTTCAACACTTGCTATTCATGGTATTGTATGAGTGAGGACACAGCTGAGTGCTTTAATGTTTAAGTGCCATTATGACAACAATAGTCTATTTTTTCTCAGCTATGTTGGTTTCTCACACACTGGATTCCCATCTGACTTACACAAATCACCAGGGACAGAACTGTAGAATCTCATGCTTGGAAGCAACTGGAAATTACTTACTACAATCCTTTCTCTTTAAAAAAATGTAGAAAGACTTTCCCAAGATTCTAGCAGTCGTGGTAATGATGGTGGCGGTGATGGTAGTGGTGGTGGTAGAGATGATGGTGATGATGGTTGTGATGATGATGCTGGTGGTGATGGTACAGAAATAATACAATACAAATTTTCAGCTACTCCAGGTAATCAGGAAAAAAATTGGATATAGAAAGAAAGTCCAATTTTAGCTAACAGTTTTAACATCTTTTCCCCCAAGTCTGTGAATGATTTAACAAGTGTCAAAATGACCCAGTTTTGGCTTTGTTTATTCACCTCACCATGCTGATCCTGTACTAATAATTGGTCTTATTTTACAGCATTTGTTGAATATTTATAGGGTGTGAACTATGTCCCAGGACCAATGTTGGGCTCTGGGGTTGTAGCTGTGCCCAAGAAAGAACCGGTGCTTGCATTGTCCTGGATTGGTAGAGTGGTCCTCAATCATCATCACCACACCTTACACTTGCATAGCAATGGGCACATACTACCTTATTTGAAAATCAAACATTGAGACTGAATTAGACATGCCTGGCAACTTCTTTTGATGCTGATAATTGTTGCTGCTAGAGCAACAGTCTTGCCATTCACGGACCCCTGTGGTGAGAAGGTGTTCTGAAGGACATGAAGGCACCACTCAATCCCAGACACTCGTGCAGGAGCCTTTTCCAGAGGGAAACAAGTGAAGGTCAAGGGGAGGTAGGGCTCCTAGCTTGGGGCAAGTGAAACAAAAATTATCCAATATATGTCAGTTTCCCCTCTTAAAAAATTTGCCTGATGCAAAGATTTTGAAATAAACATTTGATGACTTGGGCTTAGGTTTTTGCATGAAATCAGAGCCTTGCAGCTTTTCTTTCCTCTGTGTATTTAGTTTAGTATTAGCAGGTTTTATTCAGAAGAGAACAGATTTATTAAAGAGGCTTGCTGACATTTTAGAGAAATGGATAGCATATAGTATGCATGACCTCTTGCAGAGTGCAGAAATGAAGTCATTCTAACTAATCAGGCAAAGGGTGTATTTGAATCCTTAGTACAGGGCACACCTCCTAGCTTTCTTGGGAAAGCAGACTCATCAGGAAGAGTCATGCCAAGATTTTGGCTCTGCTTTCAAACACGTGTAATGATGAGTCTTGTTACATCACCAGCCAGTCGTTTTTCTCTAGTTCTTTTCTGGTGGAAGTTGCCTTTGCATTTCCATCTCTCACATTGCTCTCTTTGCATTTGTTCTTCTTGGGGTTAACTTGTTGCTGGCAAATGCTGTTGGCAGAACCTTTTGAAGATGCTCTGAAGAACCAGTCCTTGGGGCCTGTGTTGAGCAAGGCCGCCTCCGTGGAGTGCATCAGCCCGGTCTCCCCCAGAGCCCCGGATGCCAAGATGCTGGAGGGGCTGAAAGGCGAGCCTTGGTATCAAGGGGAGATGAGCAGGAAGGAGGCTGAGGGTCTGCTGAAGAGAGATGGAGACTTCCTGGTCAGGAAGAGCACCACCAACCCGGGCTCCTTCGTCCTCACGGGCATGCACAACGGCCAGGCCAAGCACCTGCTGCTCGTGGACCCAGAAGGCACGGTGAGCACAGGGCAGCTGGGCCTGCATGTCGGCCCCGTTCAACAGTCTCCCCTTGGGCCACTGTGTTGGGTGACTGAGCTTCCCTCCTCCACCCTCTGCCTGCTGAAGTCCTGATGGTCCCTCCTGCAGGGTCCTGGAGCCCAGGCAGAAGGCTTATGCTTTCCAGCCATAGTTGGGCTTATAGGACCCACAGTCAGGGTCTGTGCAAGTTGTAAAACTTGGAAAATCACTAGACCCTGAGCTAAAAGCCTTAATTCTCTTGTCCTTTAAAATAAATAAATACAGAAACTGAGAAAGTTTCCTTCCTAATGCATTCATAGTGGACTAGAAAGTGCAGAGCTCCCAGGTTTTTAATATTTATCTCAAATGTCTCTAAAAGCTGCATTCTGAGGTTTTCATTCTCAGGCTGTAGCATGTGATGAGGCGGCAGTCAAGAAACCCCCACTGATTAGTCTCTTACTCTCCCGCTCAGAGAAGTGATGTCTGGTGACAGCAATTTGGCTGTTCCTGGTGGTACTATTGTGTCTGAATAATTCACTGAATATCCCACCTTACAGTCAGTAAACAGATTTGATTTCATGCTGACACAGTCCAAGAAATGCTGAATTTAATAAATGTAATTACATTAACCTAACCATTGAGTAAATTCTAGGATTGCCGTTTAAAACTTTATCCAGTAAACCCAAGTTTAGATGATCTGAATGGTAACTGAGAATATTGCGTTTCTCGGTTGGCAGGTAGAGGTGACGCCTTAGTCTGCAAGTGGACTTCAGCGCAGCTGGTGTGCGCTGGGGGTTGGGGAGGCGCAGGATCACTCCAGGTGTCCCGAACTCAGCCCTCCAGACACCACCTTTGCCCGGCCTTCCCCTCCTGGGTGACCATTCCCCATGAATGCAATGTAGATCCTTCCAATCCATCTGCTTTAGTTGTATGGATGTTTTTAACACATACGGGCATCAGGGGAAGTATATGTTCTATATCTGTGCATTTTAGAAATTTGTAAACATGTTATTGCTCCTCAAATCCCATTTAATTTCTTCCTTTCTCCCCTGGTACAAGGCTTTGAGATCAGGCTGTGGTGCTTTCTGTACACTGAATGGTTACCTGGGTGGGCTGCCTGGGTCTCCCTGCAGCCACAGTCCACACGTCCCTTCCCAAGCTGTCTGGGAAGGACTGAAGGCACTACTGACCCTCACGCATGCTCCTCACACCCAGGTCACCTCTGTGGGGCATATCCCAGGAGTGGATTTAATTTCGCTCGGGTTTTGCATCTGCTTCCAGAGTGGCTGGACTCCCGTGTGCACAGCAGCAGAGCATGAGGGCAGCCATGTGCTCCTTGCCCTTGACCCTCTCCTGCTGGCCTGGCTAATCTGCTGGGGGCGAGGGGAGAGTGAGGAGTGAAGTGACATCTCAGTGCGCAGTGTGTAATTTTTTATTGCATTTCATCAGCAGGTTTCTCCTGTGAATTCCGTGTTCCTGTCTTTCCCCATATTTCTCTTTTTGATCTTCTTACTGGGTTTTCTTGTTGGCTTTTTCAGCTGTAGAATTTCCACATGCATACTCCTGCTTTCTCTCCTATCTGATAATTTTGTTTATGACATTTTTCATCAGAGAGAAGCCTGTCTTTGAGCTGTAGCCAAATCTGTCCATTTTCCCCTTCTAAAGAATTTTTGGTTTTGAGTTTTAAAAGATTTCCTCACCAACAAATCACAAATATACTCTATTCTTCTATTTTTCTCCTATTAGCTTTATAGTTTTATCTTCTACATTTACATTTTAATTCAGACTAAAATTACTTTTGAAGGTGATATAAGATAGGCAGCCAAAAATTTTTAAATGTTGTAAGCTGACCTTTCACCATTTACCAAAAAGCTCATCTTTGCTCTGTCCTGCTGATGCGCCTCCTGTCACGTACTGAGTTCTCTGTGCCGGGGGTATGTTTCCAGACTGCTAGTTCTGCTCTACTGGTCTGCCTGTTAATTCCTTGTGCAGGCACCACCATACTGTTTTAGGCATTATGGCTTTGAAACTGTCTTCATATGGGATGCTATGAGCCCTCCCTCTTAACTCTCCTTTCCCTAAATTGTCTTAGTATTCTCAGACCTTTGTTTTTCTTTGTTCTGCTTTTAGCCTCAGATTATCAAGTGACCAAAAATACATGCTGGGATTTTGATAGGACTCACATTGAATTTATAGGTTAATTTTGGGGGGAGAGCTGACATTTTTCCATATTAAATCATCACATCCATGAACATGTCTTAAGTCTCTTCTTCTTTAGTTTTAAGATGGTCGTTAGAATTTTAAGATTCTTTCCAGAAAGTTTTTCTGCTTCATTTGTTAGGCTACATCCTAAAGTGTCTGATTTTAGTTCCCAGTGTCAGGGGTGTTACTTTGGGGCACTTTTGCTCAACAGCTATTGCTGCAGGAAGAGGAATGTGGTATATCTTGTGCCCAGAAGCTTCGCTGATGGCAGTGGTTTCTCTGGAACAGCCAGGGCAAACATTGGCAATTTGTCTCCCACCTCAACCTCATCCTTACGGTGGTTCCAGTGCCAGCACACCAGCTGGGGCATCTTGACCCAGAGAGGACAGCCTCGTCTCATTCCTAGCCTGAAAGGGAGAGTGTGAGGTTTTGCTCCATTAAGGATGATATAAGCTCTCGTAGATTATCTCTATCAGCCTAAAGTACTTTATTCATATCTTCATTCATTCACTCACCAACAAATGTGTACCAAGTGACTATGAAATCCAGGCACTATTCTTTGGCACCTGGGATATGCCCATGAACCAGTTTAAAAAGTCAATCTCAATTCCTGTGAAATTCATACATATTATTAATTACTTTTATCATGTATAGGTATTGAGCTTCAGCAAATTCTTCTATCACATCTTTTGAGATAATGTAATAATAATGTGATTTTTTTTCTTCAGTCTATTAATGTGTGGAATCACATAGGCAGATTTTTCTGATGTTGCATCTTAGAGCACACACCCTGCTTGGTCTTGACATAGTAATTGTGGAGCTACATTGTTGCATTTGGATACCTAGTATTTGCTGGAGGAATTTTTTTGGTCCTTGTCCACAAGTGAAATCCATCTCTATCATGTCTGCTGCCTTCACTTCCTGCTTCTGTGTGCTCACCTGGCTTGGGGGTCAAGGTCTCAGCACTGTACTCACCTCCTACAATTAGCTAGGTTCACTCCAAATCAGATACCTTCCCTCACCATTTTATCTCAAATAGAATCCCCTGGGTAACGTCTATTTCTTTACCTGAGTTATTTTTACTTTAAAATGTTTATCACAAACAAGCACTCCTTTGTTTGTTAATTGCTTATTAATTGGTCTCCCCCCATGAGACTATAATCTCCAGGCAGGGAGCAGTCTTGTTTATCGGAGTCCCCCGCAGTACTAAAGGGTGTGTAGCACAAAGTAGGTGTTCAACAAGCACCTGCAAGTGAATGCATAGATGGACCTCTGGCTTTGCAGATTAGGAACTGAGAGCCCATGGAGGCGGTGTGAGGTGCTCAGGTGCCCTTGGCAGGTGTGGCCTCACAAATCAGCCTTTCTGAGCAGAATCAGTCCAGCATTCTCTCCACTTGCAAAAGCTGTCTATTAATTCAGTTGTTTTCTAAAACAAAACAGGCGAGAAATAATCCAAGCAATTCTGTGAGGCTATAAATATTTAATTTGAAAATTTGAGAGACTTTTTAAAAATGAAAAGTGAAAACTTAACTAAATTATACCATCTCATAGACCAAAGATGGTTATTTTTTTTTGCTCGCTCATTTCTTGTAGACAAAGGGATGATTAAAAAAGATACGTACTTCTAATTATACACAGTCACGAGCCAGTATCAAGGTAATATAGGAGATAAGGAGGAAGGGAGGTTGGGATGATGTGGTTAAACCAGGTGTTCAAGCAAGCCTATACCCCGGGCTGTGCTGTGTATATGAGTTTAATTTTGGAGCAGAATTTTGTGGCACCACTGAGAAAATTTGTAAGTCACACCTACTAATAACTGTCCTTTGGGGAGGTTTTTTGCTGATTATCTAGTTTAATTGATCCTATGGAGGACAGCTTTAGCAGAAAAAGAAATTGGAAATTAAAGACTTAATTAAAAATGTAATGTCACTTCTTTGCTGTGAGGACACCAAAATAGACTATGAACACATTCTCTTCAATATTTATTCATCTGATTTTCATGGTAATTGGTTGGTCCCTGACTATAAAGGGGGAACTTGGCAGAACAGATTACTCAGAGAAATAAGGATGCAAACAGTTTTGCATCTAAATTTGCTCCAAAGTGTACCAAAGAATGTGCCTTCCCACCTTGCAGGGGTTGCCCCAGGGCACCGGAGGGGCCCCTGGCTCCTGGAAAGGTTAGAGACACTGCCCCGGGGAGCGCTGGGAAGAGGCCATGGACTGCGTCTGCAGAAGCGGCCTCAGTGCTGGGCTCTGAACACCTCCGTTTCATTTCAACACCTTCAGAATCCCTTTGTCAGCCACCTCGTGTCTGAGACTGTTCCCTGAGTCACTTGCAGATTCATCCCGCTGCGCTTGAAGGCCCAGCAAGGCGAGGCAGGGGCCGTTCTTACATCTGAATAAGCTGCTGCCTCACCTACGGGGCGTCCCATGGGCTCGTGCAGCCGCAGGTCACCGGCACGCTTGAAAGCACATGCTGGGCCTGCCAAAATCACAAAACGGCAACCATCCAACACCCCACATTCATTAGGTTTTAATTTTCTTCTGAGCGTATTGAAGAAAACAAAACGTCCTCCGATCCCTCCACTTAAAGCCCTGTTGTTATTTCAAATTTCCCTTCTGTCAGTCAGCCTAGGCTGTGCAGCAGTAACACAGTGGGAATCCCCCCTGGTTTACCCCAGCAGAGCCGCAGGCCCCTCACGCCAAGCCCCTGGTCCTTGGTTGGGGGATTTGGGGCCCAGGGGACGTCCTTCTCTGGGGTCTCCCCCCACCTCCTTGCCCGACTCCTGATTCCCAGA